TTTGTTTCATTCCAAACCCATTGTGGTGGTGTATAGAGCCAAAGATGTTAGTATTGTGTTGATGTCCCAATATTTCTGGACCTGACTGTATCATGGCTCCATTTATATTAGTGTGATACCATATTAAAGGTTTGAGTTTCAAGAGATACTCTGAGTAACAAGAGTTAAAACAAGTATTCCTATTTGGTTCTTCTGTGTAATTACATTATTTGGCAGTCTACTATCTTTTAAAATATCATTGCTGCTTAGATTTAGTTTATTAATTCTGTAACATTCTTAAATTATTCCAAATTTTAGTTTCTCAGCTTGTTATCTGAGAAGTAATGCCTGCTCTTGTCATTTTTATTGTACTTTTTCTCTAATAGCTGTCTTTCAGCTAGAATGCTCATTAAAAAAACTTTACACCGACACATATAAACATGTAAATGCAGGATTGAAGACATACATAACCAAAGAAACAGATTCTGCATCTGTATCTGGTACAGTACAATAAGATTTATCTTTGCTTGTTTATATACATTCTTTTGAATATTAGTGCAGCAATTATAAACATTTAGTTAATTATTTACTACACTGTAAATCTAAAATGTGGGCTTGTGCTGTGGGGATTTGCTTTTCTTTCTCACATCCCTTTTGTTTCATAATTTAAAGATTTGCTTAATTCTGTCTCCTTTTAAAAATGTTTTTCCCATGGACCTAGTAGAGTTCTTGTACTATCTCTAATTTAGTTTGGCTCCTTTATAGGTTACCTAAGTTAATGGTAGAAATTATATTGTTGATTAGTTTAAAAATGTTGCATATTTTTTTCAACTGCATATAACTTTTAATTACATATACAATTTCTTGTTACATGATTGTTTTCTGTTTATGATAAATATTCTGTTTATTTGTGATATAGCATTAGATTTCAATTATTTCCAAAGAAATTGTCTTTAAGAGCACTGTTCTGTGAAAAAGCAGAGCAACTGCATATGTGTATATTTCTATTATTGTCAAGAAAGCTAAAAGTGAATGTCATTACTAATACAGTCTTTGCTGTATTTGCCCTCTTGATTTCACTGGTTTTTTTTAACTTTTCATACCGCTTCTAACATTTTTTGCAAAGTTCCAAATTTCAGACTGTTACATTTATCAGTTCAAAGCTTTTCTTTAAAAAGCATGCCTTTGTCAAGATTATAAAATGTACATATAAATAAATACTACTGTTACTAGATGATGTAAGTTTAGAACAAGCAACCTTTGCTGTATATGCACGAAGGTGTTATCTATAAAGTATTTATATTACAAATAATTTCTACAAATTCTATTGCTGGATTAAATTTGGTACTGTTAATAATTGACCAAAAGATTTTATAGTTTATTCATCAAATAAAATTTTTGCAGTCTTATGGCCAAGATCCAAAGATCTATGCTTAGTTAATTTAGATCATGGCATTATTTAGGATTGAGAGATCTGTTATAAAGGTTTGTGCATTACTGTTTAAAGGAGGGGATCCCTCTTTAGGATCCAAATTCTTTAAGAATGCCCGGTTTAAGGACAACCCATAGTTAAGAACGGAGCTTATTGTAGCAAAATTCAAGTTAAATATACAATGGTTGGAGTTAATTACACAATACTACTTACCCAGCATTATACAATAATACTGTTCCAGCTTACATACAAATTTGACTTAAAGACAGAACTGGGAACAGAACCCATTCTTCAAATGGGGACTACCTGCGTTTGCATCCAGTTTTTCATCAGAAGCACATGGGTTAAAGTATATCTTGATCTTTCTCTTTATTGTACATTTCATCCATTAGTGCTAGTAAGATTTAATATTTAATGTTTAAGAACATTTAGCACTGCAGTAAGCAAAATGATTTATTTGGTAATTTTGTGCTAACGCCTTTTTTCCTAATATTATAAATTGTGTCTTTCCTTTCATAGGCCTCGAAATAGAGGAAAACCTGCAGTGGAGGATGAAGACAGCATGGATGGATTGGAGGCAACAGAAACGGAAAACACTGTGGAAGTTGGTAAGGCATCTATAGTATGACCGATATAGATAGATTTAGCTATTGTCTCTATCTAAACTGGATTTGCAGATTAGAATAGGCTAAAATGATAGTAGGGCCAGGTAGCAATTTAGATTGAGTTCCAAAAGGGAACTTTGGAGTATCCCAAGCCAGAAACATTGCATCTGTCTGCCACTCTTAAAGCAGCCATGACTTTTCCTGAGATAGTGTGGCAACTGCACTTTGAAGTACCTTTCTGGAATTGAATCCCAGTTGGAATTGGGAGTGCTTGTAAGTGCTGCCAATCCTATTAGGCAGTTTTTGGTTTAGTGTGTTGTTGTGAACCTAGTAATTATCTTTGTTGTATGAATCAGGACATTATGTCAAGCCATAGTTCATTTATTTATTGCATGTTATATGATAATTCCTGGCAAATAGAAGGGGTAGAAATGGAAGCAGTAACAGATTTCATTTATTTGGGC